TTTACCTGTATTACAGAGTTAGCATCTGAGCTGATGGACTCGGATTTATACAACACGCTAGTACTTCATTTTAAAGGTTAACCTGAGATATTACGCCTGTAAATCGTCATAGTAGGTTCTATTATGTTGCTTCTTTTCTTCTCCATAAATGTATCATATACCTTTATGTATTTTTTTTTTTTTTTTTTTGACGGAGTTTGGGCTCTTAAGGCTGTCAGGTTGTTGGAGTGTAACAGGTGCATCTGTCACTGATCTCTCTCGCTGCAATGCAGGTCTTGGCACTTCTTCCAAGTCACCAGCTCCATGGCAGAAGCATAGATTATAAGGCCAAAGCACAACACCATTAATTTTTTTTTATTTTTAATAGAGATTTTGCTTACCTGCATAGCTAGGTTAATTGAAACTCCTGACCTCAGGTGATCACTGCCCTGGCTTCAGCGCGATTTACAGGCTGACATCATGTCTGGTCCTCCCTTTGCTACCTTCTAATTTCCATGCTCAGCCAATATAGTGTTTCCTAATAAAAATAATAATGTTTGAGGAAACTGACAGTGTCTATTCTGGCTGCGTGCGTGATCCACATGTTTATTTAAACAGCATTCCTTAAAGTTTTATTTCCTCATCTCATTTAGTATTTCACCAGTTTCATATTTTTATGTAATACATTAGTCTCTTTTGATAAATTAAATTGAATGATCTTAGTACACAATAATCAAGAGCAGAAATTTGAAATTTTTTTTAATGAACATACTTATAATGATATACCAATCATATTTTGTTTCTTTTATATGAAAATAGCAAAACAGAATTTCTCCTCAAGGAGTACATGAATATGGTTTTTTTCTGCTGCAATTGTTCCAAACATTAAAACTAAAAAGCACCAAAGAGCACAGGCACTGTAAAAGCAAATATCATCCTTCCAAAAATATTAGCAAGTAAGTTACTTATTCTGATCATTAAGTGAATATTCCTAACTCCAAAATCATCTGCTTGTCGTTTTTTATTTATCTAAATAGATTTTTTTTAAAAAACAGAACTAATAAAGATTTTCACTATATCTGTTATTGCAGACATTAATTGGAAACTTGGGCTAATTTCAGAGAGAAGTGGTTTTTGTCCATTTGTGTTAATTAGAGGGAACAGTGTTAAGGCAATTTATAAAGAAAAGCAGTTTATTTGCTGCAGCTCGTTTGGTCAGGCAAGAAGTGTGGAAGCACGAGATTTCAGTAATGGTCACTATTACACCAGCTGCTTCACCAAGGCAGAAGGTATGAAATGGTAATAGAGACTACATGGAAGGAGAAGCAACGGTGAGGGGAAGCAGGTGCCAGGCTCTTTTCAACAAGGAGCTCTTGGGGTTCAGGAGTGAGAACTCACTCATTGCTATCAGGATTGCACTGGTTTATCTACAAGGGTCACCCCCATGCACTATACATCTTTCACTAAGCCCCCACTTCTGACACTGGGGACCAAATTCCAAGGCCATTGAGATTTGGAGGGTAGTGGAGAAAGCAGCCAAAAGATATGTATGGGGGAAAGATAAAATATATTATTTTCAATCTGATATATAACATACCCATAGAAATCCCTAAAACCCTGAGAGCGTCATTTGATTTGTATTAAGATCTGTAAACAGATACAAACTTATGGCTTTTTTTTGTATAGAGTCTTGCTCTGTCATCAGGAATTTAGTGCATTGAGCAATCTTGTTCTCACTGCAACTCCCCTGGCCTCCCAGGTCAAGCGATTTTTCTGCCCAGCCTGAGTAGCTGGACTACAGTGGTCAGCTGATTATTTTAGATGTGAGTAGAGACGAGTTTCACCATGCTGGCCAGGATGGTCTCAATTCCTCGACTTTAGATCTGCTCACCTGCCGCCATTTGTGCTCAGTTGAACTACAACGCAATCATTAATGAGAAACATACAAGAAGTGTGTGGCTACATGGTATTTCAAAGGTTCAACCCAGGAGCCTGGGAGCTAAGGCAGTCAGATAACTGAGTTTGGGACTCACAGCCCACAATATGAAAATCTTCTTCACAAAAGAAATATTAGCTTGGGTATAGGACACGACCTCCCAGCTTACCAGGAGGCAAGATGGAGATCACTCTGACTGCAGGAAATGCAGGTGGAAGCGGTGCAAGTCATGAGGCCACTGCACTAAGCCCTGTGGTGATGGGAAGTGAGACTCTGTCTCAAAAAGGAAGGAAGGAAAGGAAAGGAGAGAAAGAAGAGGAGGAGGAGAGAAAGAGAAAGAAAAGAAAAAAAAAACGAAAAGAAAAGAAAGAAAGATAAAGGAAATTAACTTAAGAAAACAACCTGTCTCAAAAAGAATAAGGCAGGTAGGCAGGGCAGAGGAAGAGGAAGGACATGAAGAAGGAAGGAAGGAAGGAAGGAAGGAAGGAAGAAGGGAGGGAGGGAGAAAGGAAAAGAAAAAGAAAGAAAGAAAAGAAAAGAAAGAAAGAAAAAGAAAGAAAGAAAGAAAGAAAGAAAGAGAGAAAGAAAGAAAGAGAGAGAAAGAAAAAGAGAGAAAACAAGGAAATTAAATTCCAGAAAAACAGCCTGTCTCAGAAAAGAAGGCAGAAGGCAGGAAGGCAGGGAGGGAGGGAGAGAGAGAGAAAGGAAAGAAAGAAAGAATGAAAGAAAAAGAAAAGAAAGAAAGAAAGAAAGTTAAAAGAAAAGAAAGAGAAAGAGAGAGAGAAAGAGGCAGGCAAAGAGAAAGAAAAAGAAAAGGAAGGAAGGAAGGAAGGAAGGAAGGAAGGAAGGAAGGAAGGAAGGAAGGAAGGAAAGGAAGGAAGGAAGGGAGGGAAAGAAAGAAAGAAAGGAAGGAAGGAAGGAAGGAAAGAAAAAAGAAAGGAAAGAAAGAGGAAGAAAGAAAGGAAAAGAAAAAAGAAGAAAGAAAGAAGAACAAAAGAAAGAAAGAGAGAGAGGAAGGAAGGAAGGGAGGGAGGGAGGGAGGGAGGGAGGAAGGAAGGAAGGAAGGAAGGAAAGAAAATATACAAGGAAATTAAATCTAAGAAAACAATAACCTTAATGTGTGTGACCTGGAGATTTGAGAAATAGAAAACTATGTAACTATGTCATGTTTTCAGATAGAAAGATTGATATGTAAAGTTGCCAAATTGTCTAAAACTAATGTATAATTTTATGGAATTTTAAGTAAAATGTTACCAAAAATGTGACAGGGAATTGGGTCTTGGGTGGGGAGAGCTTTGCACAATGATCCAAAGGTTCATCTAGAAAGATAAGCAAATACTTTTGAATTAGGAAGGTAATGGGAGGAAGATTACAAATCCTTTAAAACTGTATATAATATATTATCATGGAATCTCAGGAATCGAAACAGTCATGTACTGGCATTAGGTCAGCTCAGCGGATCAGAGAAGGGCCCCATTACATATTTATAAGAATTTAAGCCAGGTGCAGTGGCTCACACCTGTAATCCAAGCATTTTGGGAGGCTAAGGAGGGAGGATTGCTTGAGCCAGGAGTTTGAGACCAGATCGGGCAACATACTGAGACCTCGTCTCTACAAAAAATTTACAAATTAGCTGAACATGGTGGCACACAATTGTAGTTCTTCCACTAGGGAGGTTGAGGCGGGAGGATTGCTTGAGCCCAGGAGGAGGATGTTGCAGTGAGCCATGATGATGCCCCTGCACTCCAGCCTCGGCAAAAGACAGAGACCCTGACTAAAAAAAAAAAAAAAAAATGTAATAAGTGAAAGCGGGGTCACAAATCAAGGGGATGATTTGCACTTTCAACTAACAGGACCAGACTTATCCTCTTGCCTGAAAAACTGGATAAATATATGAAACAGGAATTTTCAGATATTGGACATCAAACAGCAAAGTAGATTGATCCCTTGGAGAGGGGAAACCAGTGAGGTGAGCCCTAGGATTGCCTCAGCTTACTACCTGGAGAGAGTTTCCAGGATGCAGTGCAGGGATGGGAGCCAGGGGCAGCCCAGCTGAGAAATGACGCCACTACTCCAGGATAGGAGCATTTACACCCCAGAAATTGGCGGACTACAAATCAGGGGGCATTTGCTTTCTAGAGAGTTGGTTGTTAAACATTTACCAACACACCACTAATGGGTTCCCTGCTTCGTTCCCTGCATCTCTCACTGTGCCGAGTGTGATTAAATTAGGTCATACGTGTAAAGTGTTCACCACATGATAACATTTGGTTAAAGCTAAATGGTGTTGTACAAGAGAGAAAACAAGTGGGTAAAAAAAACCCAAGAAGTATTTGCATTTAGCAACTTAAGATTTAGTCCTTCTTGGGCCAGGTGCGGTGGCTCACTCCTATAATTCCAACAATTTGGGAGGCCAAGGCAGGCGGAGTACTAGAGCCCAGAAGTTGGAGACCAGCCTGGGCAACATGGTGAAACCCCATCTCTACAAAAAAAAAAACACAACAAAAATTAGCCAGGCATACTGGTGTATACCTGTAGTCCCAGCTACTCAGGAGGCTGAGGTGGGAGGATGGATTGATCCCAGGAGGTCAAGGCTGCAGTGAGCTGTGATGGTGCCACTGAACTCCAGCCTAGGTAAAAGAACAAGACCCTGTCTCAACAACAACAAAAAAAGATTCAGTTCTGGGTTCATCATCTAAATAGAGAATGTTCAGACACTAGTTAAGTCTGTCAGTCCAGAGGCTTGAATAGCTAACATTTGGGATTTTAGGAGTTACGACAGATGGATGTTGAAAATGGAGATGTCCTAGCGCCCTACTGGTCAGTTCTCACACCTTCTCCTATCCCAGAGACCAGCCCTTACTATCTGCATATTATGTTTGTATATTACCATCTGCATATTACGTTTGCATATTACCATCTGCATATTATGTTTGCTGGTTGATGATGTCTCCAACTTATATTTCTGTCCCTGGAAGTTTTGACAATAACTCTATCTTCAGCCTGAGACAAAGCTCTCTTTCTCAGCAGTGTTTTTTTCCCCCCATCTTTCTTTTTGTCTCTCCTTTTCATTTTCCATTTCTAGAATTATCATTACATTCGAGTAAAAAGGAAGGCATTCTTGAGGAGTTTGGGGGGACAGCCATCCTTTCAGAAGATGCTTCTCAGGGAAGAGACAGCCAAGGTAAAAGTAGATTTGGGACTCATGAAAGTAAAACCTGAGAATGTCCATTTCAAAGTGGAGACAGGACTACAAGCCAGCCTGGAAAATGGAGGGCTGTGTCCACCCCACCCTCAGTCCTAGCAGCCAGGGGCTCTGGTTCTCTCTCTCATGTTATCACAAAATGCCAAGAGGTGCACAAGTGGATAGAATAGGCAGAGAATCAGAGGAAGAGGGTCCCTGAAACATCCCCTGGCTAACCAGCACATGTCCTGAAGTCCTTCCAAGCTGAGGCGCCTCGTTTCTCTGGCACAGACCTGCCTTCTGCTGTTGACAGGCCCACTCCCAGGGCCCAGAAAACCAGGCCATTTGCAACCAGGTGACTGCCTTTGGCCAGTGATTCAGAGAATTAACCCTTGGGAAAAGGATTAATTTAGAGCAGAGGTAGCTCTAACCTACCCACCATCAACTCCAAGAAGTCCTTCACTATCACCGTCCCTCCCTGGTGGAATGACCCTCCTTCTCCCGCACAAATTCAGACCAGAGATTTGGCCCCACTGGGCTGTGCTACCTGGCCCCAGTGTTTTGGTGTTGTTTGGCTTGGTGGCCAATGTTTAAAAATCAGCACATGTGGGCCAGGCATGGTGGCTCACACCTTTAATCCTGGCACTTTGGGAGGCTGAGGCAGTGGATCACTTGAGCCCAGGAGTTCAAGACCAGCCTGGGCAGCATGGCAAAACCCCATATCTGCCAAAAATACAAAAATTCGCTGGGTGTGGTGGTGCATGCCTATAGTTCCAGCTGCTCGGGAGGCTGAGGTGGGAGGATCACTTGAGTCCAGCAAGTCGAGGCCACGGTGAGCAGTGATGGTGCCACTGCACTCCAGCCTGGGTGACAGAGTGAGACCCTGTCTCAAAAAAATAAATAAATAAATAAAGTAAAAATAAGCATATCTCATGAAAAAAATCTGTACTTCTATCTTTTCTTGAAAACCACAAGATTTGACGTCTGGGATCAAGTTGGGAACTTTCCCGTGGGAGGGGTCTGATCTCTCCAGTTGCTTTGTCTTTATTGGGACCACTCCACTCCTTTACCTGCCCTGCCCTGTATCCATCCGAGTTTGCAGCCCCTAATACAGGCTGACCCCTGGGGACTCCTTTTCTCCTGTATCCTACTATCAACTTTGGAATGTATTTAGTGGTGGGATAAAGGTCAGGAATACAAGTTGCCTGCCCAGAAATGACCCTGGTATGAGCCTGAAGCATTGTGCATCTGGCCAGCTGATTGAAAAGTAAACTCTTTTGGGCTGTAAGGCCACTTTGGCTCACTTTAAGACATATTATTTTGCCTGTTGGAGGATCTAGAGTAGGGTGTGGGGGCAGGGGTGGGGTAGAGGGAGTGGGAGGTGGTGTCAATGTTCTCTTCTCTTTGAAATTTTGAATATGGAAGCTTCTCAGTTTAAATAACACCTCTCAACAATACTTTTTACATGTTAGGGTACCAGCTTAAAAGCTGAGATAGGCCCGGCGCGGGGGCTCATGCCTGTAATCCCAGCACTTTGGGATGCTGAGGTGGGTGGATCTCCTGAGGTCAGGAGTTCGAGATCAGCCTGGCCACCATGGTGAAACCCCATCTCTACTAAAAATACAAAAATTTGCCGGGCATTGTGGCGGGCACCTCTAATCCCAGCTACTCGGGAGGCTGAGGCAGGAGAATCGCTTGAACCTGGGAGACAGAGGTTGCAATGAGCCGAGATCGCACCATTGCACTCCAGCCTGGGCAGCAAGAGCAAAACTCCATCTCAAAAGAAAAAAGAAAAGCTGAAACAATAATTTAAGATGGTGACGGGACCCATCTGGTTGGTGGTTCTTCATCCATTTTTTCGCCTTCTTTCCTTTACTCACCATGTATTTGTTGGAGACATAAATATTTCAGGTGCTCTTCAAGACCCCACGTACACAAACACAAATAGTACATAGTTCTGCACTCCTGAACTACACACTATAATGGGGTGAGTGATATATAGTTATAGACAGTGAGGGCTTTGGAGGGAAAAGCCAAAAATGTGATCTCTCCCTGAGGCATTTAGAAGAGTGTGTGCCTTTCATTTTATTCTTATGCATGCAACTCAGTTTCAATAGAATAAAAGACCTCCAATTTCTATGCAATTATTCCAATAATAAAACAATTTTCTTAAATAAAGAAGTAATGGGCATGTCTGTGCAGAAAAATGAATACCTTGCCCCAAGTGCATGGGCTTATTTCTAATTCCATGTTATTTCTCTTCACTCCACCATCACCAACGGCACGGCCTCACCTGGACATTTTGAACAGGAAAGCCAAGCAGAATCCTGACTCGCACCTCAGAGAAAATCAAATCAAAGTACAGTATATACTTGACTAACTCCCTTGGGAACTGGGAATGGTTTTCAGCAAATAACTTTTAGCCTTTTCTCAACATCTATGTCATGTATCCATAACTGTTGTAAGAGATCCTGGAGGCAGTGGTGCCATTTCTGTGCACTCCTGAGATCTCACAGGCCTCTCTCCATTCTTTGTTAAGTATCTACAGCTATTATTTGCAGAAACTATCTGCCCCCTTGCATCTTGGGTCTTTGCTTCTCAGAATCCACTGCCCTATTTTTTAATTAAGCTATTCTGCTAGCCTGTGTGTTTGCAGTTTCACCATGTGATTCAAAATTGCCGCAATTAGGATCATAAAGTATTTTGTTGTTGTTGTTTTCCCCCCTCACTTAATTGTTCGCTCATTTGTACTCATTATTTCAGAAGTCACTCGTTCTCAACCCTTTCTACCCCAAGACAGCTTCTTTAAGAAAATATGTTGATGCCTGGGTTGGGTACACCAGCCCAGAGGAAGGGATCTGGGCCAGCATCACAGTATCATGACAATCTCTGAGGAAAACAGAAACATTTTGCTGTGAATTCTAGGCACCCTCTGAATTCTGGACATCTGCTTCTGTGGCACTTGGCAATCACTATTTTTTGTAATTAAATGTTCATTTTGAGATCGTTTTAGATTCACACACAATTGTAAGAAATAGTACAGAGAGACTTCATATACCCTTTACCCAGTTTCCTCCAATGGTATCATCTTGCAAAACTGTAGCACAATACCATAACCAGGATATTGACATGGATGCCATCAAATACAGAACATTAGCGCAGGGTTCTTCATGTTGCCCTTTTATAGTCACATCCACTTCCCTCTCCCACCTCCCCTTAACCCCTGGCAACCACCAATGTGTTCTCCATTTCTATGATGGTGTTATTCCAAGAATGTTCTATAAATGGAAATCTACGGTATGTAATCTTTTGGGATTGGGTTATTTTACTAAGCATAATTCTCTGGAGATTCACCTAAGTTGTTTGGTCTATCAGTAGTTGGTTCCTTTTTCTTGTTGAGTAGTATACTATGGTATGGACGTGCTGTAGTTTATTTGCTCATTGGAGACCATCTGGATTATTTTGAGTTTGGGGATATAATGAATAAAGTTGCTAGCAATATCTTTGTTCCACCTTTTGTGTGAACATAATTTTCACTTCTCTGGAATAATTAGAACGTAATGCCTGGTTGGGTGGTAGATGCGTGTTCAGTATTTTTTGTTTTTGTTTTTGTTTTTGTTTCCTTTTCGAGATGGAGTCTTGCTCTGTAGACCAGGCTGAAGTGCAATGGCACAATCTCCGCTCACTGCAACCTCCACCTCCCAGGTTCAAGCAATTCTCCTGTCTTGGCTTCCTGACTGGGATTACAGGTACCTGCCACCACGCCCAGCTAATTTTTGTTATTTTTAGTAGAGACGGGATTTCACCATGTTGGTCAGGTCAGTCTCGAACTTCTGACCTCAGGTGATCCACCCGTCTCGGCCTCCAAAGTGCTGGGATTACAGGGGTGAGCCACCACACCTGGCCACATGTTCAGTTTTTAAAGAAATTGATGAATTGTTTCTCAGAGTGACTATATCACTTGACATTCCCACCAGCATTGTTTGTGGGGTCCAGTTTCCTCATATCCTCAACAGCATTTGGTGTTTGCACTGTCTTTTATTTTAACTATTCTGTTAGGTATTAATTTGATTTTCCTAGTAGCTAATGGTGTTGCGCATCTTGTCGTGTGCTTGTTTGCATCTTTATATCCTCTGATGAAATATCTATTCATATCTTTTGCTCATTTTCTAACTGAATTGCCTTTTAAAAAAAACTGTTGGATTTTGAAAATTCTGTATATAATTAGATATTAGTCCTTTGGGGATATGTGGTTTGCAAAGAATTTCTCTAAGTGTGTAGATTGTCTTTTTATCCTCTTAATAAGCTTTTTTGTAGAGTGAAAGTTTTAATTTTGATGAATTTCGAGTTATGAATTTTTTCTTTTATAGTTCATGCTTTTGGTGTCAATTCTAAAACATTTTCCCTAGCCTTAGACTCAAAGATTTTTTTCCATATTTTTTCTTAAGTGTTTTATAGTTTTACGTGTAAGTTTGTGATCCATTTTCCATTTTGAGTTAATTTTTGTATAAGGTGTGAGGTTTAGATTGTGGTGATGGTGTTTTTTTGCCTGTGTATCTCAATTGGTCCTGCACCATTGGTTGAAAGGGCTTCTTTCATTGAATTGCTTTTGCACCTTTGTCAAATTTGGGGCCTATTTCTGGATTCTCTATTCTGTTCCATTGATCTATGTAACTGTCCTGCCACATGATCTTGACTACTGTAGCTATTACTTTTTTATTTTTATTATTTAGTATAGGCAAGGTTTATTACGTGTGATCTTGATTTCACATACAAAGTTAGAATGGCAATTACACTTAAAATTAACTCATTAAAAAGTATAAATATCACAGTATAGATATGTTATCCAAAATCCAAAGGTAGTGAAACTGGTAACATACTGCTACTTATCTTTGGACAGATACAACCATAGTATTAATGGAACTGGTTCCCAGACAAGTATGTACCACTTGCTCCCATGCCTTAGGGAGGAGAGGATGTTATAACACAGGTGGTATTGATGCAATGACTCGTGAATAGTTGCTCCTAATTAACACTGCTAAAATTAGGTTCACATGTTTCACTTTGTGTGGGAGCTGATGACTCTTGTTCTTCTGTGTTTCGAGTGATATCTTTCAAGGTGTTGACATCAAATCCACTCATTCCAAAATGCATCACAGATGGGAATTTAAGCCTCTTTACAAAGCAAACCACTAGAAATTATAGGTAGTATGCAGCACTGATCTGTAACTGATCTCTGATAATATAGCAACATCATTTCTTTGGAACATAATTTTCTTGATCCTACAAGAAGTGACAGGATAAGAAAACTTATAGTTAAATGGCAACAGTCTTGTTACAGGACAGTTATCTCCCAGGTGTATGTCGCTAGTTTTAATTTCTGTGTTGTTATCAAAGGGCCTTATTTTCATTCTGACTAACAACCAATTATCAGGACACGTTGAAACTATTGCAAGTCAGACAGTGACCTAGGCCATCAGTAGTCAACTCAGTCATTGCTGCAGTCCAGTGTCTTCTTTATCCATTGAAGATCTGTGTCTTAGGTCTGGGTTGAGTCCAGAAGAATTCCAAAACAATAGAGAAAACAGGAAGGACCTGACTAAGAACACAGACGTCTTCATTGCTCCAGATTCCAAGACACAACACGGGAAACAGGAAATGGCCTGTAGCTATTAGTCTTAAGGTCAGGGAGACTTCTTATGTAATTCCTCTTTTTCAAAACTGTGTTGGCTATTCTAGCTCCTTTTTCTTTTTATATAAATTTTAAAATAATCTTATCTACATCTACAAAAAATCTTTCTGGAATTATGATGGGAATTGTGTTAAGTCTTTTTATGGGTTGAATTATGTCCCCCACAAAGATATGTTGAAATCCTAACCCATGGTACTATGTACATGACCTTATCTGGAAAAACCATATTTTTTATTACACCTTTGCAGATGTAATCAAGGTAAGATGAAGTCAATAGGGTAGACCCTTAATTCAGTATGACTGGTGTCCTTACAAGAGAATAGACACAGAGACACAGGGAGAATGCCACGTGATGACAGAGATTGAAGCGATGTGGCTGCAAGCCAAGGACTGCTGGCAACAGGAGCAGCTAAGAGAAAGGCATTAATAGATTCTTCCCTAGAGCCCTCAGAGAGAACATGGCCTGTTGACACCTTGATTTTTGACTTCTAGCCTCCAGAACTGTGAGAGAATAAATTACTGTTGTTTTAAGCTGTTGTTTGTTACATCAGTCCTAGGAAACTAACACAACCCTGTATATCAATTTGGGGAGAACTGATTTCTTTACTATGCTACATTTTCCAATCCATAAACACAGTCTGCCTCTCCATTTGTTTAGATCTTCTTTGATTTCTTCAGCCTTCTGTAGTTCCCAGCTTACAAATCCTATACATGTTTTGTTAGATTTATAGCAAAATATTTTTGTCTTTTCTTTTTGAACAAGTGTAAATGGTATTGTACTTTTTATTCTGGAGTCTATGAAGTCATTGCTAATATAGAGAAATACAATTGATTATATACCCTGACCATACTGAACTCACTTATTAGTTCAAGAGTTTTGTTTTGTTTTTAAAGATTCCTTTGGATTTTCTACATAGACCATTATGTCATTTGCACATAAGGACAGCTTTATTTCCTCCTTTCTGATCTTTATGCCTTTTATCTCTTTTTCTTGCCTTATTGCAATGGGTAGAACTTTCGATGTTGAATAAGAGTAGATGGAGCAGTTATCTTTATCTTGTTCCCAGTCTTGAAAGGATTTAGTTTTTCACCATTAAGTATAATGTTAGCTGGAGGATTTTTGTAGATGTAGATACTCTATCAAGTTAAGAAAGTTCTTCTCTGTTCCAGTTTTCCTGAGAATTCTTATCAAAATGAGTGTTGAATCCTGCCAAATGCCTTTTCTGCATCTAGATGCACACAGTAACATGTAGACACCACATTTGCTCCCTCAGAAAGCTCACCACTCTCCTAGTCTCATCCATTCATTCAACAAATATTTATTGAGTGCCCTAACAATAAATAAAAGACCATCTCTGCCCTCAAGGGGCTTACCATTTAGGGAGGAAGACAGACAAGTTGATTGCAATACAATGTGATAACGTTATTAGAAGGATAAGCCCAGAGTGCCACAGGCATGCAAAGGTAGGACTCTTAACCCAGAGGAGAGGTGAGGGCATGGGAGGGCAAGGGCAGGATTGGTGAATGTGCTTCAGAGCAGGTTGCCTCTAAGCTGAGTCTATAAGAGGAGGAGGAGTTAGTGAGGACAAGCTCTGGAAGAGGGAGTGCTTTCTGGTACAGAGATGACAGAGTTTGGTTGTGTCAGAATGACTGGTTTATCATTCTGGGTAAAAAGGGGAGAGGGCTCAAGGAGTATATGGGCACTGCACTATAAGCAGGGAAGTGGTGATACTATCTATCTAAGCAGTCTGTGCTTTGTTCCAAGGACCCTGGGGAGACACTGAATGTTTTAAGCAAGAGTAAGACAGAGACCCAATCCTATTTGCACTTTAGAAAAATGGATGTGGCAGTATTTTAGAGAATGAAATGGTGGAGGACAAAACTAGAGATACAGTGGCCAGTTAGGAGCCTATTGTCGCAATTCAGGTGAAAGAGATTGGACTGCCTAAACCAGATAATGGCATTGGGAACAAAGAAGGAAAGGCTGTGAGAGACATTAGGGAAGTGGCATTGACAGGACTTTGAAGGGCTTATGTAAAGATTGAGGGAAGTGTCAGGAAAAGAGAGTGGTTACAGATAACTCCCAGATTACTAGCATGGTCTTGCCATCCAATAATATTGGGAATCCAGTAAGAGGAGCAGGCCTGCCTGAGGAAAAAGAGAAGGAGTGTGATTTTGGATGTTCGTTTTAGCTCCCTATGGGACAGCCATGTGGGTACTGACGTCCAGTTGAAGGTTGAACACCGAAATCTAGAGCTCAAGAAAGAGATAGAGATGCGGGAGTCATTGGTGTATTAGCAGTGGTTGAATCCATGAGAGGGATGAGGTCTCCCCAAAAGAATGGGTAGAAGGAGAAGGGAAGAAGACTGAGGAGGAGCCCAAAAGACGACAAAAGTATCAGAGAGGTGGGAAGAGAGTGACTAGAAAGTGATGTTGCTCAACCCAAGAGCAGAGAAGGTAGACTGTAATATCAAATGCTTTCTCAGGGTATGTTTCCCTAAAACTAATCTATGTCCCTGGCCCTTTCTGTTTTCCCACACCTTCTCTCCAACTGCTCAACAGGCAGCTCCAGGTGTGTATTTTGTCCCCTCAAACTCAACATGAATAAAGCAAATATTAATCTTTTTCTTATCCCATCTGTAAGCCATTTTCCTTCCTATGAGTGCTACCTCCATTTTTCCAGGCTCCAGACCACAAATGCTGGAGTCATCTTTGTCTCTTCTCTTATGGCCCCAAGACCCCTTTCTATTTTTGGTTCCCATTATTTCGTTCTTCCATATATCTCTAAATTCTCCTCCCTCCCCATACACTTACTCATCGTTGACATCATCACTGCCCTCTATCTGAAAATGTTAATGACCTAGATCACACCAACAGCCAACTTACTCTGTCCCTATCCCTGCCTCTTTAATATTGCAATCAGTTTCCATTCATCTTTCTTACAGGATTTTTCCAGAGCCACTTTTCAAGCCACATGATTATGCTTTAAGGAGGTACCTCATTGTCCATCACCCCAACCAACATTTTGTCAGCCTGATTGGAAGATATTTTGAGAAGTAAAATCTGCTCTTAAAGAGAGAAGCATTGCCTTACTTGGGGACAGTCAGAAGGCTGTGATACAGCTTTCACTTTGAGCAGTAGAGCACATTTAGATTCTCAAGAAGAATGTATTCAAAGGGACAAAGGGATGAGGCAATGTAGGCTGTCACATGTTTCTTTAAAAATAAAGTTACCTTACTTTATAGATACACCTCAAATAATTGGTACCATATGGTATGGCCCTCCCATGTGGTCTCATTGTTTGTGTATGTCAGCTTTGTCTGGGACAGAATCCAATTTTCTTTTGTATATTCATGGAATCCATTGATTTCTGCAATCAGCAGTTCCCTAAAAGGCTAAACTTGCTATTGAAAATAATTATGTTACAGTTGCATTCCAAAGACAATTTAGAAAGGAATGCAAACCTGTTGACAGAAAATGGCTCACAAATCAGACATTTTCTTTTTCTTTTTTCTTTTACAGCCTGACTGAAAGTTTCGGTTCAGAAGACAGTTTGGAATTCCTTTTAGATGATGAAATGGACTTTGATTTGGTAACTAGATTATATTTGCTGGTTTAAATATTGTGTTTGGTGAAAAATCTGATGATCATTTATTCTTTTGAAATTAAAATATTTCATTCAAAACACTGCACAAACCTTCCAGAAAGAAATATAATTTTGATACTATTCTCCAATTGGATATGTAATTTATCTTTGTCATAAGACATTTTATAAGTATCTAGAAGAAGGTAATGATTTAGGATATATATATTTTATATATATATAAAAAATCAACAATCTTCCAGTAAAAATAGCCACTTTCTGATTGCATTTTATTGGGACTTGTGATGGGTTGGGTAGCTGAACCATAAAATAAATAGACCTTCAGCAAAACAACCCTTTATTGCTGCAAGATTGACTTTGAGCTAACATCACCCTAAATGCAACCACAGAAACTCAAAAGGGACAACAAATACCATTCATTGTTGTATATTACACACTTTACCCAAGTCATCTTTTTAAAAAATTGTGACAAACAAACATATAAAAAAATTTACCATTTTAAGCGTGCAGTACAGTAGTGTCAACTATAAGCAACAGATCCCTAGAACTTTCCGATTCTGCAAAACAGAAACTCTATACTCATTAAAAAACTCCTCTTTTCTCCCTCCCATGGCCCCTGGCAACTGCCATTCTACATTCTGTTTCTAAGAGTTTTACTATTTTAGATATCTCATATAAGTGGAATCACTCAGTATTCGTCTTTTTGTGCCCAGCTTATTTTACTTAGCATACTGTACCCAAGGTTCATCTATGTTATAGCACATGACAGGATTTCTTTCCTTTTTTTTTGAGACGGAGTTTCACTCTTGTTGCCCAGGCTGAAGTGCAGTGGCATGATCTTGGCTCACTGAAACCTCTGCCTCCTGAGTTCAAGCAGTTCTCTGCCTCAGCCTCCTGAGTAGCTGGGATTACAGGTATCCACCACCATGACTGGCTAATTTTTGTATTTCTAGTAGAGACGGGGTTTCACCATCTTGCTCAGGCTGGTCTTGAACTCCTGACTTCATGATCTACCTGCCTCGGCCTCCCAAAGTGCTAGGATTACAGGCGTGAGCCACTGCACACGGCCGATTGCTTTCCTTTTGAAACCTGAATAATATTCCATTGTATGTGTATACTACATGGACTTCATCCATTCATCCACTGATGGACATTCAGGCTGCTTCCATGTCTTGGCTATTGTGAATAATGAGGAACATGGATGTGCAAATGCCCAAGTCATTTTTTTAAAAAATGTCTAAGGTAACACATATAAATATAAAATAATTAAAATGTGGGGAGAAAATGACTCACTCAGCCTCCTGTCATCTTCTATTCCTTCTTCCTTTCCCTTTTTCCTGCACTTGCCTCCTCTTCTGCCTTTTCCTCGCTCTCTTCTTCCTTTATTCTTCCCCATCCCTTTTTTAATACCCTCATCTCCCCACAACACTTCAAATGTGCTCTTTCTGAGAGCCAGCTCTCACTTGAAATGGATGAGTTTCCCATACAAATCCCTACCTGCGTCTCCCTCATGCTTAGAAACACCTTCCTTTATCCCACTATATTTTCTAGATAAGTCACATGTGCATAGGTAGCGTATTTTTAAGTAAATTATATTCTTCATTATTGATTAATTAGGAGCCAGCGCTTTATTTCAAGGAACCAGAGGAGTTACTTCAAGTCCTCAGAGAGCTGGAAGAGCAGAATCTTACTTTGTTTCAATATTCCCAAGATGTAGATGAAAATCTTGAAGAGGTAAACAAAAGAGAAAAAGTTATACAGGATAAAACGTAAGTCATTATAAACAAGTAGATTTATTCCATTAAGCAATTTCTAACCAGAGCCTGGGTCCAACTCATCCACATGTGGCTCTTCCTCGTGGTCTCTGTGAATGTAGGCTGGGGTTTTTAATAGTTTACATTGTGGAGTGCAAAAGGTAGATGTCACATTTACACAGAATAGACTGGCTTTAATTTTGTCCCTACTTTCTTTCACTTGTCAACATATTTTCCTAGCTAGTAACAATAAAAGATATTTTGAAAAAAGACTAAAAAGAATTAAAATGGTACCTACTGCCTTAACTTTTGTCCAGTGTAGTTTTCGCCCTCTTGGCTAGCTATCATTTACTTTACCAAATCATGCTGTGGATGATAATGCTAACAAATGTATTTTCATTGGCCATGACTCTCAAAAAAAAATTTTTGTGATTAAATATTATATCATTTTATAAAGTTCCTGTCAAGATATCAGGGCAAATATAGAAAGGATTTCTGTCAGGGGAAAGCGGCTGGATTTGATCCCTCACAAAATTCCTTCCTCATCTAAAAATATATAATATTACAAACTTGAAAAAGAGTTGAATTACAGAGAATAGATCTTTGTATCTACTCATTGCAAAAATGTGTAGAATCTTTTTTTCAGAAAGTTTTCTGGGCCAGAAGATGAAAATCTTTTTAAACAATAGGTCAAACTACATTTAACTTCAAGACAAATTAATTTGTTCAGAAGGTAAGAACCTAAAAATCATTATCTCACAGCTACCCATTATCATCTGTGAGACTTTTTAATCCTTGTATCTTTTCCAGTCCTCACAGTGTCTGGTGGCCCTCCACCCACCTCCACAATAAGATTTTCTGGGACAGGGTGGGTGCAGGTGGGCAGGAAAGGGGGATCTATAGAATCCATCTCTAGAGGATCTTATCAGAATCTCTAGGTGAGGGAGTTAGGAGTCTATATTTTCCCTCTTGGCTCCCCAGATATTCTGATTATCAGCCACATTTGAGAACACTGGGTTTCTGATGCCTCCGCTCTGCTGCTATTTGGGGAAACTCAAGGGGAACCACAAAAGTAGGGGAGGGGAAGCAAATGCCTTCTGATGGAAGTTAAAAGCAGGATTTGTGCATGTATTTTTCTCATTTTAACTTGAAAAGTTGCATGTACTTTGGCAATATCTTCAAATACAGACTTGTATTTGGCTCACTACATGGATTTCGACACATAGGATCTAGAGTGTTGAAGCTCCTGACTGATGGCTATTTCACTAACCACAAATTTCAGATGAGGGTCTCTTTCTTCTTTTGCAATAGAAATAGCAACATAGAGTTTCTTTTGGAGCAAGAAGAAATGCTTAAAGCTAATTGTGTGAGAGAAGAGGAGAAAGCAGCAGAATTGCAATTAAGGTCCAGGCTCTTTAGCTTTGGAGAATTTAATTCAGATGCTCAGGTAATCACTCTTTGCCTATGGTGATTTCATTTTGGCTCATGATTGTAATTTTTATTCCCTGTGTCCTAAGTATGTGAATAGGGGAGTTAAAACAAATCACAAGTCCTAGATTGACGACAGAAGTGGAAAGCCAGCTTGGAATTTATCTTGCCAGTATGTAATAGCCAATGTACATAGGCAGAAAGCATTCAAATTGGCATTGGAGTTCTCTTAAAACGTTGCTCTATTACAATCCGTGATATTGACCATAGTTTCCCCTTGAAATACATTTATTTTAGTCAGAGCCTAGACATATGTAGTAGTTCACTGTGTGTTATCATTTTGGTGGTAATTCAAGGAGTAATTAACAGAGGAAGTAGTGAATCAACACAATTAACAGGGACTCAACACTGACTAGAAAATTTTCCCAGCACCGAGCCTGTACTAGATTTCTGCCTCTTCAGGCCTGTGTAGACTCATTATCAAAACAGCTGTGATGTGTGCTAGTGCACTTACTTATTGAGAAGTTCATCTCTCAGCTAGATGCAAACCCCCTCGAGGGCAGGGATTAACTTATTATTCTTAGTTCAGTTGAGGGTCCCCTTAAAAGTTGGTGCTCAATAAATGTTTATTGAATGAAGGATTAGGTTAGCTTTTAGACCCACAACCAGCTCCATCTAACATTGAATACCTTATAAAAACCTCAAATGAAATAAAAATTCAAAGCTAACATATGAGGCTAACATTGTTCTGAGACCAAACTGAGGGTCAGGCTGCTATTTCTTGTGGCCCAATAATGAGATGCAGATTAACAGGGGAGGAAGACAGTTTTTACTTCTGTAACTAGTTACAGGGAAAAGGCCTGGAAATTATTGCCAGACCAACTCAAAATTACAGTTTTCCAGAGCTTATATACCTTCTAAGCTATATGTCTATGTGTAAGTGTGCATTCATCTAAAGACATAAGTGATTAACTTCTTCTCATCTATAACTAAGGTCTGAGTCCTGAAGACCTTCCTCTGGAGCCTCAGTAAGTTTACCTAATCTAAATGGGTCCAGGTGCTGGGGTGATTACCCTTATCTTGTCTCCTGCTAAATCAGGGAGGTTTAGGTAGTTCCTTCAGACCCCCAGTAAACTTGTTTGTGGAGGCCTGGGGAGTTTCTTCACCCCCAATAAAACTTGCTTAATCCTAAATGGGTCCTGTTAAGAATTCCTTCATTATTTTGTCATACTTTAAGGCCCAGGAAAGGCCTAGGCAAAACTCTTGGTGAGCTTTTGTTACATTCCAGCCTTTGTATAAGGGCACTGGCTTTCAATATTGAACTTAACCACTCAGTCAGTACTGAAACAGTTGTTATGGAAGCCTGCGTTAGTGAGACTGGCCTGCCACGACATCACATTTATGGATGTGAACTTGATTTTCAAACAGAGGTTGAACTGGCAGAACTGCATCAGAAGAAGACTGTCCTCCCTTACCCACAGGTGAACAGGGTTACAAAAAGCACAAGCTGTTTATGGCTCCTCCACACACACACACACTTTCCTAGGGGGTTCTAGTGCCATGAGTTAGTAGGGGATGGGGTTGTGCATTGCCAGAGCCAAGAAGCGTGATGATAGCCACCTTTCAATTCAGTGCTGTTTTTTTCTAACCTTTTTTTTTAAACTGTGGTACAATATACATAACCAAATTTACCACATACCTATTTTAAGCACGCAATTCAATGGCATTAAGTACATTCTCAATGTTGTGGAACCATCACCACTATTTCCACAACTTTTTCATCATCTTTTCAACATAAAAATCTAACATCTTAACCATTTTTAAATGTACGGATCAGTAGTGTTAAGTACATTCACGTTGTTTTGCAATCTCCAGAACTCTTCATCTTGCAAAGCTGAAATTCTATACCCATTAAACAATAACTTACCATTTCTCCCTCCCTCTCCTAGCCCTTGGCAACCACCATTTTACTTTCTCTCTGAATTTGACTATTTTAGGTACGTCACAAAAAAAGAATCATACAATATTGGTCCTTTTGTGTTTGGTTTATTTCATTTAGCATGTTTTCAAAGTTCATCCATGTTGTAGCATGTATCAGGATTGCATTATTTTTATGGCTGAATAATATTCCATTGTATGTTTATACCATATATTGTTTATTCATTCATCTATTGATGGACACTTGAGTGGTTTCCACACTTCAACTGTTTTAAATAATTCTGAAACCAATTGACATGCAAAATGTCTGATAAATATTTGTGATATCTCCCCTCCTCCCTGCCCCACCCCAACTAAGCCCCTTTCATCCAAATTTGGGGCAACTATTAAAAAATAAAAGTGACATTTTTGATACTCTTTAACATTGAGGCAACCAGATACCTAAAGAAAGAAAGTAGAATTGACATAAAATTCCTTTTAAAATGGCTATCCATGAAATTTTGATCGCAAGTATAAATTTGGCATTCATGTATTGCACACTCTGGAGAAGTGGGACTAATAATCCGTAGTGTCTTCTAGAGATGTGAAATGGGGGAGTGGGGAGGGCGAGGCGAAGCAGGAAAATTGGGAGGGAAGGTATTCTTAGGATTTTTTGCTTCTCTACCTCCATTTTTTTTCAGATCTCAGAATATACAAAACATAATCCTTGGAGTTAATTTAACTGCAGCTCATTTTTTAAGTTTCTTTTCCAGCTTTATTGAGGTATAACTGACATATCTGATTGTGATATTCATAAGTTATGTTACTCTGGAGCTATCAGTATGAAATGAAATTTATTCTTTCAAAACTTCCACACTCTTAATGACACTTAATCCCCTAAAAATTTTGCCCTTGATCCAGTATTTTACTTTTAAAATAAAATTTTAAGTTCAAGTATAATGTAATGTTGAGAAGTGCACAAATCACAAGTGTACCTCTCAAGGAATTTCCTCAAAGCAAACACACCCGTGTGCTACCCCCCAGATCAGGGAATACACCATTATCAGCCCCTGCAAACCTTCCTCACACCTGCTTCCAGTCCTTCCCAGCCCTCTTTCCCACCGTCCTGACCTCTCATGCCATCAATCAGCTTTCCTATTTTTGAACTTTATTGGAATGGAATCATGTAACATGTCTGGCTTCTTTCTCTCAACACTATGTTTGTGAGATTCATCCATGTTGTTTAGTGTAGCAGTTGTTAGTTCTTCACTGAACATGAAATGGAACATAAACTGCTCCACTGTTCAGTTTGAGGAATGTGTTTATCTCTGGTTTTACTGTTTTCTTTGCACAAGGAGCCGATCAGTTGCAATTGAGAGAACTGTGTACAGTCAACACACAGAATGTGACATGGATTAGAATGACAGAACCCTTGAGTTCGAAAAGACTTTCATAACATCTAGATATCCATCCCCGCCTTCCGCTCTCCAGTTTTGATACAATGATTCCTCCTAAAACACTGCTCTGGTCATATCACTTCCCATTCACTGTTGAAAGGCACCTGAAGTTCTCTGATACCAGTCTTCCATAATTCCTGTTCCATTCACCCGGGCAGACTCCCTTGACAGCTCCTCCTCCGAGGTACGGTGGGCTGGGCCTGCCATCTGGGGGCAGTTCCAGGGATGGGGCTGAAACTTTCCTTCCCTGTCGTCAATTGGCCTGTGCCTTGTGCTCCCTTTTCTTTGCCTTTTTGCTTTGTCAGGCCAGGCTCTCAATCCCTTTTTCATACGTGAATGCCTTCATTCATCTCATTCTCCTCTCCTGTCTCCTAGCTCTTGTTCTTACCTTGTTATCTTAAGAAAATATCTCTTCTCACCATTTTCTCTCCTCTTAGAAGAGGGAATTTATAAAAAAAGGGGGGAGGGAGCAGTGGTGTAGAAAAGACATCGTAAAAAGCCACTGCTCTGCTCATCCATCTCTAAAACCATCTAAGTGTTCAACAGGTCTCCTTCAGAAATTTCCATCAACTAGCAACCACTCTCATCTTAAAGTTGTTTTTCCTCAAAACCAGTGGTGAATATATTTTTAAAGTATTTTTCTCTGCTTTATTTAGTGACACACGTTGCAGCAATATTGTTTTCGTATGCAATTTACAATATTTCAATCCGATGGGTTACTTTTATTTTCTTTTATATTTTTCGATGTCTCCAAGGTTTAGAAAAAGAACGTGCTGTTACATAAATAAGAAACACAGTTTTATTTTAGAGAAAGGGGAAAAGGGAAATTTATGGCCAATATAGGACTTTTGCTGTTTTCTATTATTATGTATTTCTCCAAGTTTTCTAAAAGGATCATGTCATTCATGTAAATAGGAAATATAATAAGTGTTACCTTACAAAGGTAAAAAGGAGCTTTATGCTAAACAGGACCATCAGAAAGCTTTTTAAGCTAGGAGGTGGAAGAGAAAAGCTGTTGGAAGTACACTCTTGATATCATATCTTGGGTTGTAATTGTGTTGGTGGCTCTGTAAGGTGTTCATGGTTCCAGGAAGGGCTTCCCATGGCTCCAGGAGCCACATCTGTCTTGAGAGTTATTTGTCGCTGGATTTATGGTGATGCTCATCTTCTTGAGCGGAAGCAGGAAATGGGGCAGAATACTACCTGGAGAGTGATTCACATTGCCCAGCAGTTTGTTGAGCTCCTCTTAATTGCAAACACCGGGTTCACAATGGCGAAAGAGGATGACAATTTTCTTATGGTCCTGAGACAAGTTACCTACCACCTCAAGAATCTCCACCAACAGTTAAAATGGCACAGTGTCGAGGTACAGGGATCGGCAAGGTTTGGCCTAAGCTTTTGTTTAGACTAGAATACTGCAATGGCTTCCCAACGAAAACAGTGAAAATGATACTTCTGAAAAGGCTTTAGTAGGCCAGCCTGGGTACCTGTTTGCTTGTAACTTTTTTTTCTGAGAGAATGCATTCAGTCATTTATTCAGCAAACATTTATCCAGTGCACAGTTATGTGCAAAGCACTGTTTTAGTCGTAAGTTTAAGCATAAGATGTAGCTCCTGCTCTCCTGGTCTATAAGGATAAGGCAGAGAACTATCATATAGGATGATTATAGTTTCACAATTATAACAGAGTAATATATGCAAAAAAGAGGGGAGCTGGGTTACATATTGTGCCAAAAGGAAATGCATCTGAGTGGCAAAAAACGATTTAAAATGTTTGTTGCCTCTATTTGAATTCTTAGGGAGTCAGATATACAAAAACATTCAAGCAAAAAATATTCTGCTCATTATAATTACTTTTTATATCTAGAGTTCAATATATTTTAAGAAAATAATCCAAGGTGTTACTATAGTAATGCTCTGACTATAAATTATGATATAAGTCAAATGTCACTGCTGCATTTTCTCAATGATCTGTTTTATTAAAACTTCTCCTTTAAAAAAGTAAACATCAGGCCAGGCACAGTGGCTCACGCCTGTAATTCCAGCACTTTGGGAGGCCAAGGCAGCCCGATCACCTGAGGTCAGGAGTTCGAGACCAGCCTGGCCAACATGGTGAAGCCCCATCGCTACTAAAAATACAAAATTTAGCTGGGCGTGGTGGCGCATGCCTGTAATCCCAGCTACTTGGGTGGCTGAGGCACAAGAATCGCCTGAACCTGGGAGGCGGAGGTTGCAGTGAGATGAGACTGCACCACTGCACTCCAGCCTGGGTGACAGAGCGAGACTCCATCTAAAAAAATAATAATAATAAAAAAAGTAAACATTTAATAGCATATACATGGGTTTTTACTGTAATATAGTAAAATGGTATTATATATTTATTGAATGTGCAATGTGATGTTAATGTTTTCTGCTCTTCTCAATCTCAGGAAATACTGATAGACTCACTTAGTAAAAAGATTACTGAAGTATACAAAGTCTGCATTGGAGATGCTGAGGATGACGGCCTCAACCCAATTCAAAAGCTGGTAAAAGTAGAGTCTCGCCTGGTAGAACTGTGTGACCTCATCGAATCCATTCCCAGAGAAAATGTGGAGGCAATTGAGAGGATGAAACAGAAAGAACGGCGGCAAAAGTATATTCAATAAGGATAAGAATGACTTAATGAGTAGCTGGTTTTGCTCAGATTCCACAAACACATTAGCAAGTCTCTTGTATAACGCCATATTATAGGGACACAGTGAGGAGGAATGAAATCCAGCCCTGCTCTCCTCATACAGCTATTATTTAGCGTGGAAGACACATTCATCAAATATTCTTAGGAAATAAATGTGTCATTACCAATGGTAATGAGCACTGCGAAGGAAGGAACTGGGTGAACAGAGTTCACCAGGGGCAACTGACCTAGTTTGGGATGGACAAACTAGCCTGGAAAAGCAAATCTTTGGTAATTATATAAAATTTATGAATAAGTAATTACATGAAAAGTTTTGACTACCTATCATGGGGAAGGAGAATTGCATTGGTGGTGAAGGACCCAAGGCATAGAATTAGGAGCCCGTCATGGGAAGACTGCAAGCAGACTCAATCTACCTGTAGTTCTCCCATGAAGGGCTCCTAATTCCTAATGAAGGAATTGTTTGAAAGTCAGAGCTACACAGTGAGGGTTTTCCGCAGTGTATAACTGCCAACACTTACGCAACGTTCACTCATTTATTCCTCAAGACAACCACATGAGGATTATCGTCCCTGGATCCCCACCCCATCCCTCACACCCTTGCATAGCTTGGTGCCCTTCAAAGGAGATCTGTGCATTGAGGGTGGTATGTCCTGACCGTGGCCTTTCAGAATGCATTCATTTACAAATTTCCATACCAAGTTAAATAAGAACTTTTATGGACAAACAGTTGTCCTTTGGTATCTGTAGGGGATTGGTTCCAGGACCTCCCAAGGATGCCAAAATCTGCAGATGCTTATGTCTCATATAAGATGGCATATTTGCATATAACCTATGTATATCCTCCTGTATACTTTAAAATCATTTCTCGACTACTTAATACAATGTAAATGCTAGAGCTGTCATACTGTATTCCTTAAAATTTGTAGTATTTTTATTGTTGGGGCTTTTCTCCACATATTTTCAATCTGCAGTTGGTTGAATGCCCAGATGTGGAACTGTGAATATGGAGGGCCTACTGTCCTAGTTTGAGGCAATGATTATTGTAAATATGACCCCTAGCCTACTGTGGCATGTAGGGAATGTTTACAAGTGGGATGATGTTCATGTAATAGCAAAAAACATGTTGAGAGGCCAACTAGTACTCTGGCTACCAGGCTGGGGATTAGACCATGCTGAGTGAGTTCAGTTCAACTATTTATGACCTTGTGACCTTAGGCAACACAAGCACTCTAGGTGGTTTCCTTATCTGTAAAATGGGAGTAATAATGGTACTTACAGGTTGTTGTGAGGATTAAATTAGATGATCCAAGTAAATTACAAGAGCATGCTTGGCACATAGTAAGCACTCAAATATTAGCCACTTGTATTAGATATTTTGTTATTGCCTACTACTTTACAGATGTATGGAGGATATGCTTACCCACAGTAAAAATGAAGTCCAGACTATATTATGGTGATTCTGATGGGATCTTATTGAACATAAAGCAAGCTTTAAAAAAAATTATAAATGAAAAGTTGGCCGGGCACGGTGGCTCAAGCCTGTAATCCCAGCACTTTGAGAGGCCGAGACGGGCGGATCACGAGGTCAGGAGATCGAGACCATCCTGGCTAACCCGGAGAAACCCCGTCTCTACTAAAAAAATACAAAAAACTAGCTGGGCGAGGTGGCGGGCGCCTGTAGTCCCAGCTACTTGGGAGGCTGAGACAGGAGAATGGTGTAAACCCGGGAGGTAGAGCTTGCAGTGAGCTGAGATCCGGCCACTGCACTCCAGCCTGGGCGACAGAGCGAGACTCCGTCTCAAAAAAAAAAAAAAAAGAAAAAAGAAAAGTTACTCCTTCCCTAAGATGACCTCATTATGACTACACTAACAGCACTTGCATCTTTTTTACAGTAAAAATATATTTGCATCAAAGTGTAATTACAACTCATTTTTAGCAGTGATACATGAATGTAATTCCAATTATTTACATTCTTCTTAAAAAGAATTTTAGCTGGGCCAGGCGCGGTGGCTCACGCCTGTAATCCCAGCACTTTGGGAGGCCGAGGCGGGTGGATCACGAGGTCAGGAGATCGAGACCATCCTGGCTAACATGGTGAAACCCTGTCTCTACTAAAAATACAAAAAAATTAGCCGGGCGTGGTGGCAGGCGCCTGTAGTCCTAGCTACTCGGGAGGCTGAGGCAGGAGAATGGCGTGAACCTGGGAGGCGGAGCTTGCAGTGAGCCGAGATTATGCCACTGCACTCCAGCCTGGGCAACAGAGCAAGACTCTGTCTCAAAAAAAAAAAAAAATATTTTAGCTGATTTTCCCCATGGTTTGGGGCACCTAATTTTGCAATAGAAATGCTCAGTACATGTTATTTCCATTCCCTAGTATATAACCTTACACTTAGAATATCATTAAATAGGTTCATAAAATAGCTATCACGTATTTAGTGCCTATTGCTCACCACTTTGTACTTGATAAGTTGCACAGATTAATTTTTCCCTCAAAATAACCCTAAAGAGAATATGACAAATGGCATTTCTTGCTCATAATTTGAGGGTATTATTCAAAAAGATTAATTGGAAGGTACACTTTTGTGGCAGCTCACTAAGCTATGCATTTGTGTACTTTTCTGTATGTATGTGACACTTCAATTGAAAGGTTTAAAAAGAGGAAAAAGTAGCTGAAAGTTAATTCAAGTAGCTATAATACAAACTATCTGTAAAGTGCTGAAATGTTTGGGAGGCCGAGGTGGGCAAATCACGAGGTCAGGAGTTCAAGACCAGCCTGGGTAACATGGTGAAACCCCGTCTCTACTAAAAATACAAAAATTAGCTGGGTGTGGTGGCATGCAACTGTAATCCCAGCTACTTGGGAGGCTGAGACAGGAGAATTGCCTGAACCCAGGAGGTAGAGGTTGCAGTGAGCCAAGATTATGCCACTGCACTCCAGCCTGGGCAACAGAGTGAGACTGTGTCTTGGGGAAAAAAAAAAGTAAACCAAGATCTGGGTATATTTTATATTTTCCAAAATGATGAAATTTCTTCCCATTTCAAAATAGTATTTGTTTTTGAGATTTACCTGAATATTCAAAAGCCACTCTTATGAGTAAAGATGAAGTATCATTTTCATTTAACTTTAAAGGAGGTCTTCTATTCACATGGCTCATTATCAAAGAGTAATGTACTTTTCTTACTTAACGTGATTTATAGTTACAAGAATGTTTCTCCCTTCTTGTGACAGGTTTCGTGATGAGAAAATGAGAGAAAAACAAAGACACCAAGAGGAAAGGCTAAAAGCTGCTCTGGAAAAAGCAGTAGCACAACCAAAGAAAAAGGTTTGTTTTGCTATTAATAGATCCAGCCATATCAATATGTGAGTGCCTCTGTGGTACAAAAACAAAATACTTGATTCGTCTAACTTATCCAGGTTGAACTTCAGAAGGATAATCTTTCTTGCTCACAGCTTCAATTGGTCTCTCTGGTTCCTTGTTATTTTTAGAATAATTCAAATTAGTGGCTCTCTAGTTCTCAATTAAACACTTTTTAGTAAAAGAAGCCTCTTCTCTCTCCTCTTTTTCTTTAGCCCTAGGTTCATTAAAATCAGGTAATTTTTTTTTAGTTTTTTGGAATAGATTATAAAAACATATTGTTCAAAGTTCAAAAGATACAAGAGTATTCAGTGTAAAGTCAGTCTTCCTCAGTTCCCCTTCCTGGAGGCAACCACTGTTAACAGGTTCATTTGCATCTCTCTGGAAATATACATACACATATATGTATTTATGTACATATTCCTTTTCTTACTGATAGCTAGGAACTTGGCTTCTTTCACTCAGTAATGTTTTGGAGATAAGTGAACCTAGAGAATCGCATGTAACTGTGGGGACTGTGTACAATCCCCATATTGTAAAGATAATGAGATTGACAGCTGGAGTCAAAATGATTTGCCCAGAGTCGCTATGACGTAGCAGCAGAATCAGGACCAGAAGCCAAAGTTCTTTATTTTGCAAGACCACCTGTCCAATCAGAAGTTTGGGATTAGGCAGTCACGTACAAGTGGTCCATCACTTCTACACAGGGTAAGGAGGGCCTTTTGTTTTATATGCCACTCTTTCCCTCCTCTGGGATACAGTCTGAAATATATTCCAGAAGGACAATTTCCTGGTTATCTGCAAAGCTATTGTGGACACTGATTCTTACCATAGTAACAGCTAACGCATAACGAATGCTTACTGTGTGCCTTATAACCAACCTCTTGAGGTAAGAACTTGAAAAAAATTCTGAAATATGGGAATTGTTAATATGTGCCATAGCAAAAAGATGATTACTTCAAAATATTTTATTGAAATACTTCACCTTAAAAAGGGTATTTATCTAGTTCAATTCTTTCCATGAAGACTTTCCTCACCTGTTCTCTCCTCCCAAGAATTAACCATTCATCACCCTTCCACATGGACTACTTAGTAAACCCACCAAATTGAAATTATTTTTTAATATATTCACCTTTCCTTCTAGACCATGAGTTTTATGACGTTTGTATCCCTAATACCTGGCACATCATGGATACTTGATGTATAGTGAATTAACAGACTAAAAATGAGCATAAAAACTAAACCTGGAAAAAACTGGGGAAAAAATGGTTATCTGATAAATGAACAACACACAATGACCTCTGATAGAAGCTGACCCAATTAGGACACTTCATCATTGGTAATTTTTTCAGACAGTATTAATAACAAATGTTACCAAAGATCTCTGACAGTGAAAAATTCTGATATTGCAGAATGAATTCAGAGATTCTAGTCCCCCAAGGACATTTTTGTTGTTACAGTGATGGGGAAGAGTGCTATTGTTATTTAGGTTCTCTTGGGCCTGCAATGCAGGGGACAATCTCACATAAGAATTGTCCTAAAATGTCAATAGTGCCTTTTGAACACAGTGGCAATGTCCCATCAAATCTCACAGAATTATGGCAGTTTTTCCACTTATACATTTAATTTATACAAATTCAGCTACAAAAGCAAAACAAAATAAAAAGCAGGCGAGGGAATCCCAAAAGTAAAGAGAAAAATAAGTAGTAATATACTTGAGTATATATGCCCTAGAGAGAATGAATAGGTATGAACTAGGGGTTTCCCAAAGCCTCTTCTGTTGGGAACACCTCCAGAAGCCAGCCAGTGTTCAAGATGGTACACGGTTTTCTGGACTTAACAAGATTTCTAAATGCTAGTCAGGTGCTCAACAGGAGAAAGCCATCTCTTCCAACCATGAAGGAAAAACTGGCTATGGCACTTACTGAGAAAATGGTGGCCTTCAACATGGTGCTTTTCTAGGCTGAACACATTTGAACCGTATACTACTGGATGACTCTACCTAAGTTTTCCCACTTCCCAATAAAACCTAACTGTTGCTCCTTCTGCATACTTATCGGTGTCCAGTTTGCTACTCAACTTTGCCTAGCATGTTAGACATCCGTTAGGTTACAAGTCCCTTTTAACTGTGATTAGTTAATATTACAAACCACATTATTCCTTGTAAAAATCAAGTTAATATTGGTATTTCACAAATTTCAATAGAAAATGGAAAATATTAAGTATTTCGTTTTTCTTTTCAGTTGGGAAGACGACTTGTCTATCATTCAAAACCTCCATCTGCTAACAAACAGCAGCTACCTTTAGTCAATGAAACAAAAACAAAAGCACAAGAAGAAGAATATTTTTTTACTTGAATAAAAGCAGTAAGACATTTTATTACCAGAATGTCTTAGGTATGTTTTGTAAATCTTGGCTTTCACTAATGGCAATATTCTGCCCCATGTACCAGGCCTAATCAATTTGAGGAAGACAGGCCCTTATTCTAAGGGCCATAGGATTAGGAATAAGTTATTTTCTTTTGTTGAAGTCTTTATTCATATCATAAGTATTAGTCCATATAGTTCAACATTGTTATCTATACTTTGAGTTGTTCCACTTGGGGATACACAAAGATAGTTTACTGATAAAATTGTATGGTAAATGACCACTGAAGTGTAATAATGGCCATTCTCTTACAACATGAGAATGTAAATGATATATTTTCTCAACGCATCTGTAGGGAAGTTCATAGCACGCTGTTATTACTATGGAATATACATTTTAACAATGTACAACTCTAAAATATCTGAAGGGTTTTGAAAGGCTTAAAACTTAACCTCGAAGTTATGGTCTCAGAACATAACTGTGAGACCAGTTTTTATTCCACATTACGTTTTGTTCAAAGAACTTTTTTCTCCTTAGTAAACAAATCATATGCCCTCAGCCTGAATGTCAGTTCCCAATTTCTGTTGTGCCCTGTCTGTACAATCATTTTAATTTTTAGAAGATGTTTCAGTTTTAGCTACAATATGTGCATTTAGCTTATAGTGACACAGAATTAACATGTAATTTATTGACTAAGTAAAATAAGACAGAATATTATTAATGCCAAGAAAATGTTTAATTTTATACATGTTAAAAGTGGCTCAAAAATAACTTGAAAACGTTGCATTTAAAAGGTGGCAGCTAATAGATAATTTTACAAGAAAAGGTCTGAAATTCACCTTCATAAAAATATCTAAAGCATATAAATAATTATCCTTTATGGGGGGGAAAAAAAAAGAGCATTGAGCTTACAAAAGAAAAGCAACTTAAATGAAATTCGGTGGCTTTTAAAGCATTAGTTCTGTGAGTAATCTTTCCCAACTGGTTCAACATTTGAGCTTTGCTTGTAAATATCTGAATACAAATAGTTCGCAAGTCAAGTTGAAAAACAAACAAATCTTTATTGTCTAGAAATATATATATAAAAAAAAAATCCCCAACAAAAGATGCTATTCTCTCATTTCCCCATCTTCTTCCTCTTCTTCCACACCTCTGATATAAAGGACATTATTACACCTGTAAATAGAAAAAGTCCATTTTGTTGTTCCAACCAGAAACTTGTATGATCTGAATTACTGTATTTTTATTATGAATATACTGAATGCTATATTTACAATATTCTTGTCTTAAAAAATTTTTTAATATATTTGTTTTTAAAAAGAGTTTTACATAGACTTGTTGAAAAGCACATTGCACTTATTTTCCACCATATGGTTGTTAAAATGACACCTTTATGATTTTCCAAAGGAAATAATTACCAGAATTTGAAGCTTTGAAGCTAGTACAGAGAATCAATATAACAAAAATCCTTACAAACAGCCAGACCCAACTAAAATTCAAAACTAAGTTCTTGCAATGAAGGCCACTGCAAAAGGTTGCCACTGTAAAAGGTTATAGCTAAGAGCCAGAAAATTTAACACTAGAAAAATCTTTTGGCCAGTTCTAAAACATCTGAAAACTTACCTTTGATAAGTTTAACAATTTCAAAGACTTTTGAAGTCTAATTGTAAAGTATTATAATAGTGATTTTTTTCTTAAAGTACTTCCAAAATTGAGGCACTAATATATATAGAACAGGTATTCCTAATGCTCACCAGTAACGCCTTACATATACCACTGCTGTTTGTTACCTTATTAAAACTTCACCCAGATGTCCAGACAAAGCTCCATCTATGTATTCTTCTGTATTTGCAAGCTTTCAATAAAAAGAAATAAATTAGTATAATCACACAGGAGGAAAATATTACAATACAGCTAATACTGGTGAGAGAACTTACTATGACCTTCCTATACCAAAAACTCAAATTTATCTATAATTAATAAACAGAGGATGAGCTTTCTATTACTACTGTAGTACTTTTGGTTTCATATAAACCTTCAATAAAATTAATATTCATGGATGTAGAACAAATATATAATAAAGTTTGTCTCAACATAAGTCTCGGAATCTCCCAGGTTATGTAATATTTCTTTCCATTAGATATCAAAACAGTGTGTGGAAGAAGGCAGTCTCTATGAATAAATTGTGATTAAAAAGTTTTCTGAAAATTCATTCTAAAGAACCAGACGTTAAGTTTTCTCAGAGTAAAACATAAATCATATTGAGGTGTCCAAATGGGTATACAAAAGCTATGGCTAGCATGCCAAATACTTTTATATTAGTCAGCAACCAAAGCAGATAACTGAGTTAGAATTTTCTTCTTTTCCTGTCTTTTAAGAAACAGGGTCTCCCTCTGTTGCCCAGGCTAGAATGCAGTGGCACAATCATAGCTGAGCAAAACCTTGAACTCCTGGGCTCCTCCTGCCTCAACCTCCTGAGTAGCTAGGCCTAAAAGCATGTGCCACAAAGTCTGGCTACTTCAAAACAATTTTTTTTTTTTTTTGTAGAGATGAGATCTTGCTATACTGCCCAAGCTGGTCTTGAATTTCTGCCTTCAAGTGATCCTCCTGCCTTGGCCTCCAAAGTGATGGGATTACAGGCATGAGCTACCACATCTGGGCCTGAATAAGAAAATTTTTTTAAATTATGTACTAATAAACAGGGAAAAACAAGTTCTTAAGTGAAAGTTAAATAGTTAACAGTGACTTTTACAGTTATTTTGTTGAACTCTATTATTTCTAATTTTATATCAAAATGTTTAGCTTTCCTTCTACATATAGGTAACAATCTTTACTTGTAATTAAAAGAAAAATCACAATCAATGCCACCTGGGACTCAGCGACGGCACTAACAGGAGTGAAGGGAGAGAGGGAGGTTTCCTTCACAACTTCACAACTAGGCATGTGGAAAAGGAAAAGAAAAACACGGCTTAACAATAAGGATTAAAATAGGATGTGACATAAGTCATGAAAAACATGTTAATGAACACTACTACTGGATGTTACTCCCTCTCTTATAGAAAACAAAAAGTAATCTTCATTATCCAGATGATAGTTTTGTCTGAAATATATGAAGTTGTTGAGACAATTAGTTTTTATGTAACGGCTATAAGAAATAATGTATTAAGAGCAACTAATTTTTTGTAAAAGGTAATTACAACATTTAACTGGTTTCTAAATTACACAATAATGCTCCAAATACTTTCTATCATGTATTAAATTCAGTCTTCACCATCACTTAACAGGCTCTCTATGGCCACCATTCTAACCTAACTTTGTCATTTGTCCCTTAACTCAATCTGCTCTGGCCTTTTTGCTGTGCTTTGAACATACCAAGCATGCTTCCACCACAGGGCCTTTGTACTTGCTATTCCCTCAAACTGGGATGCTTTTCCCCAGACACTCACCTGAGTTGTACACTAATTCTGGTATCTTCCAGAATTCGCTTCCTCAGAGTGGCTATCCTATATAATATTGCACATACTGTCTCTCTATTCTCTTTTTCTTCATGCATGGCATTATCACACCTATTATCACATTATATTACCACCTCCCACCACTAAAACATAAACTCTTGAGGGCAGGGATTTTGTTTTGTTCAATGCTATATTCACAGTGCCAAGCACATAATGGGACTCAATAAATATTTGCTGAGGGAACAAATTCAAACACTGGTATCAATATGGTTGACTACTCAAAGTGGTTGGTTACTTAGACATTTTTTAACTCTGGCAGGGTCACTAGCAAGCTATATTAATTCTAAAACAATTATTAAGTGGTAAATCTTTTATTACTGAGATGTTAATTTCCATAGCATAAAATTCACCCTTTTAAAGTGTACAATTCAGTGGTTTTTAGTATATTCAAAAACCTGTGCAAACCTGTGCAACTATCACCACTAATTCCAGAATATTTTAATCATAATTCATATACTTCCCAGATTTTTCTATGGTCTTGGTAAATGATTCCTGTTTAGGGAATTGTCCAAACTCAAACTATGTTTTGGGGACCTAGTGTCATGTGCTCAGGTGGTAATTGCCTAAGTTAAGGAAAATCATAGCTCTCTGCCTACTTAAATACTCCTTTGAGTACTCTGCTTATAAGTATGGAATCCTTGGATTCATGATTGGATTGACCACCTGTCTTGATAGCCTTTAAAAACCTGGCGGGAAACTACTACTATTAAAAAACAACAACCCCAAACTAATTTTTTAAATATGCAAAAGACATTAACAGGCATTTCTCCAAAGATAAACGAATGGCCAATAAACACATGAAAAGGTGCTCAACATCATTAGCCACTAGGAAAATGCAAATCAAAACCACAATAAGATACCACTTCACACCCATTAGAATAACTATTTTATAAACACCCATAGAAAATAACAAGTGTTGGTGAGGATGTGGAGAAACTGGAACCCTTGTGCATTGCTGGTGGGTATGGAAAACCATGTAGCTGCTGTGGAAAATAGCGTGACAGTTATTCAAAAGGAAAAAAAAATTTTTTTTTGTTTTTTGAGACAGGGTCTTATTCTGTTATCCAGACTAGAGTGCAGTGATGTGATCACGGTTCACTGCAGCTTCAACCGCCCCACGCTCAGGTGATCCTCCCACCTCAGCTTCCTGAGTAGCTGAGAATACAGGTGCCCACACCACCATGCCTAGTTAATTTTTGTATTTTTTTTGTAGAGATGCAGTTTTGCTATCTTGCCCAGGCTAATCTCAAACTCCTGGGCTCAAGCAATCTGCTACCTCAGCCTCCCAAAGTGCTGGGATTACAGGCATGAGCCACCACGCTTGGTCTCCTTAAAAATTAAACTTGGAATTACCAGTAATCCAGTAATTCCACTTCTGGGTATATACCCCAAAGAGCTGAAAGCAGGGACTCAAACAGACATTTGTATATCTGTGTTCACAGCAGCATTACTTACTACAGTCCAAAGAGGGAAGCAACCCTGTGTCCACCAAGAGGCAAACAGATTAGAATGTGGTATATCCATATAATGGAATATTATTCAGTCATAAAAAGGAAGTTCTGACACATGCTACAACATGGATGAA